GTCTCCAGGTGAAGAGGAAGATGTCCGTGCCAAGCGGAGAGAACGGTGTAGAAGTTGAAGTAGATAAGGATGTTGTTTGCTTGTTTCTGAAAGCTTACCCAATAGCAAATGTCATCATGGCTTGTCGAAACCATCGTTGTAATGCCGGATGGAGAGCTGCTACTGGAGTGTGGAAAAGGCTTAGTGTTCAGACTGGCACCAAAATAAATCTTGTTGCAAGCTCTTTTTTTTTTATCCTATATCTCTGTCAAAAGAGTATCTTACTGTGTCTTTTAACACCCAGGTAGAAAAGAACCCTAAATACTGGTCTGTCTCAGAAGTCGCCGTTATCAGCTTTCCTTTTGCGCTGATTAATTGTAGGACAATGAATGTAAGGCAATGGCCATGTGTATAATAGCAATTAATCAAAAGATAATAGCAAACATAAACGTTCATTAGTTTTATAGCTGCTTTGTTTGTATTCAGTGTTTCTCCTGGCAGCGCTGTAGTAAGCAGGTAGTATCAAAAAGTAGGGTGTGCGTGTGCAGATATCTCAGAGCATTTGTTCAAACATTCTTCTTTGCCCTGTTATATTTCAAACAATGAGTAGGAGATGAACTTTGACCACTGCATTTCATTTATCACTTTCTTGGCTGACTAAAGGCATTGGCGATGGCCAAGAGCAAAGGGCTTGGTATCCACCAGTGGACATCTACCCTTCTTGACCATGTTATTGTATATAATGTTAAGTTTTTACCATTTCTTAAGAGAGGTTTATTAGTGGAGATTTTACGTGCGAAGTTCTCAGTCTTTGCAGACATAGTTTAAGAAGAGTGAAGTGGGTTTGACTGCAGGTGGGAATTGTTGGTAACGTAGTGGTGATATATGCCGGGCGTCTCAGAGATGTGTCCTTGAGGATCCACTGCTTCTCAGGCAAGAAGGGTCAAGGCAACCACCTCCAAATCCATCGCGTGAATCTGGTTTCCCAGGGTAATAAGAAGCAGCCGATTCCCAGTGTCGTGGTAATTTGTCCTCTTGAATGTGTGGCGGTGTGTTTCAAGCTGTTGTTGGTATCGATACGAGTTAGCTTAATAACAGAGTGTGACTGCTCGGTGGTTGTCCTATGTCTGCAGCTCGGTGTGTGGTTACCCACCTTAGGTGTAGGTTGGCAGCTTGGTTGCTGTCAGCAGGCAGGTGGAGCTCGGGGTGGTTTAGGAAACGGGCACCAAGAGGTCATTGAACTGCCCAGTGCTGTATTTACGCTGCTTCTGCTGCCCAGGACAGAACTAAGCTTTAGTTTCATGCTTATGATACGTTTTGGTCACGTCTGTGTAGGCATGTCAGTTGTTTAAGGAGATGGGAAAGAAAGTTATGGCTGGACTTGCTTTATTGTTTGTAAACTAGGAGGACACAATAATTTACTGTATGATTTATTATAAGACTTCTTATCCATAATGTCAAAGATGGCTAGCAAAGGCAAAGACCATACCATCCCCATTTTCTTTAAATATTATCAGTTGCCTGTAACCGGGTTCTCTTTCATGAGGTAGGGAAAGTAAAATTTCATCTTGTGCTCCAGACCACAGTGAGGGATAAAATTTACTCTTTCCTGCAACCTGTGAGGCTGCAAGAATTGCAATTCTTCCACCTCCATCTGATGGAGCCTGAACAGACTTTCTTTGCTGCAACGTAGAAGATGTGCAAGAGCGTTTGGAGTGAACTGCTGGTCCCTGGTCTTCAGAGTACTCTATCCTGAGGGCTTAGGTGTTGGGAGGGCTCTTCTCTGATTCCTGTGCTTGGTCAGTGTTTTACTTCCCTTGAAACTGAAACTGCAAGTACTTGGATGAGTAGGGTTTATTCCAGCATAACCGTAGAGATAATTCTTCCCCCTTTATTGAAATACCATTTTGCCACTTCAGAAATTGTATTTTCCAGTGAATGGAAAATGTGTCTTTGATTGCAGCAGGCTATTAGATTAATTTAGTCTGCAGGAAATGAGAGTGAGAGCCTGATAAATGGGATTCTGGCAGTGTGTGTATTGATGACCAAACAATTCTTGCTGGTTTAGCTAAATCCTGGCTCTTCTGAACTAGTGAGCATTTTGATGTATGTTTGCTTGACTTGGATTTGTACTGAAAACCATCAAGTCTTGCTCAGCTTTGCTAAACTTCTGATCATATTTTCTGTAACTGAATATAGTATTTAGCTGCTTTATAGTGCACTTGACTGTACATTTCAGGTGCTTTGTAAGAATTATTGCCACTGCCCTTTTTTAATGAACTTTCATTTTATGAGCTTCTGTATTTGACTTCTGAAGTTTTGACCAGTGCTTCATACGCTCCCTTGGTCAGAGGAGTTTATCTCCTCATGTTGTGAGAGAAGATAGTGAGAAATGGGTCTGTCAGAGCAGCTGGTTTAGGGTATAGGGTTTTTTATTTATTGGATAGACACTGGATCCTAAAAGTGCACTTTTTTTGTGGATTGTTGGAATTGCAGGTAAGAACTGGGCTATTGCCCTTGGAAATGGTGGTACCAGCGCTAAGGGCTAACCTGGACTTTAGAAATCTGATCTCACCATGAATGAACAACTTCATCTTAAAATACATAACTGCTAGAGTGAGAAGGAAAGCTTCCCAGAAGTTGGAGCTATTCTGTGGAAGATACCGCTTTATCAAATGAGATTATCCAGAAGACCTGGATTTCACAGAAGTCTTAACATGTAAAGGAAAGAGATCCTCTTTAGTTACATAAGAAATATAAGTTTCCCAACAGAGTTTACACCAATTTTTTAGTGTAATTTTTCTTACAAATATTGACTTTTTCTTGTGGTCCTTCCCTCCTCTGTTTAAGTGTTCAAGGCCAGGCTGGATGGGGCTTGGAGCAACCTGGTCTGGTGGGAGGTGTCCCTGCCCAGGGCAGGGGGGTTGGAACTCGATGATCTTTAAGGTCCCTTCCAACCCAAACCATTCTGTGATTTGGCCAGCTGACAGTAATATATATACACACATAACTTTATGTTTTTTAAGAGTTATTCTTCATGGTCCCAGGAACTTGCCATTTTAACATAGGATTTCTCAAGCATTTTCTGAATTCTACATTTGGTCAGGCTCTGTCACTTTATTTTTCTTTTCGAAGTAATGTTTCTCTTTTAATTTCAGTTTTGCAACTCTAGCGAGAGCATGTTATCTCGCAAGATTTGAGAATTAAGTCATGGCAGGTTGCGCAAATTTTCTTCCTGCTCAGTGTAACAGAAACATACCATAGACTTAGAGTTGCTCATGGGTAGACTTTTATATGAATAAGAGTGGTTAAAAATAGAGCTTGTATTACGGCAACTTCCTAAAGAAAAGAAACAAACAAGCCCTAATCTCATCCAAACAAAATATAGTGGCAATCTCGTCATTCTTGTTTGGCTTTTGGGATGTCTCAGTTTCCCAAAACCAATCAAAAGTCAGCATAAGTATGGTCTTAGCAATGTGCCTCCTTTCTTACTTCAATAAAATGTATTTGATGGAATCCACACGGCAAATATTGGACAGAGGGAGATTCTTAGAACGCAAATTATGAAACTTTTAGAAAATATAATTTAGAATTTGATTTGCAAGGGAAAGTTTTCTTTTTTTTTTTTTATACCATGTTAGCCTCTCTTTTAATCTTGTTTGTTGAAGAGCCTAAGCTCTTACAGGCTAATGTTCATCCCCCTGTGTGTGTCTATCCTTTCTTCAGCTTTTTAATAATTCCTAAGCCTGTAGGCAAGTTACAGTAAAATGTGGCTGAAGGGCAGATGTCTCAAAGATGTTACTTTTCAACAAGTTGGAGCGATGCCCTTAATCCCTTCCCAATTAAGAGCATGGCCACAAGGCCTATCTTTTATTGAATACCTTCATTACAGTTTTAACAATCTATGTAAGTAGGTGAGGTGAAATGTTGTGGTTAGAGGTAGACTCTCTTATTGGATCAGTTAGAGCAGAGAAACTTGAGGGTACTTAAGCTTTTTGCTTACAGAGCTTGTCTTGCTATCTGTTTTTTTTCTGCCATAAAAGCATCCGCAGGAAGAAAAAAACAAATTGGGTGAAGAGACAGAAGGGTGTTTGCAAGAGAGGTGGAGATGAGTAATTTTTCTTGTTTTGCTCTCTTGATCCCACAAGCCTTTTTCTGTGGAAATATCTTGCCTGCTGTAGTAGAAGCCTTAATTAGTTCTGCTGACACTTGTAACTGCCTCTTGTCTTACTTTTACATCGGTATGAATCTGGGCAAGTGAAACACACGTTATAGGAGAAATTGTGGACTACATTCCTTCCTCTGTTAGCATTTGTGCATGTGCTTAATTTTATTCGTGCAAATAAAATTTATTTTGAACAGAATTTTCCGTTCTTTCTTATGTGAGGATTTCTACAGCTTTACATATGGACTCCTTTCCTTCTCTTCTGCTCTGCCTCATCCTTTTCTCCCTAATCTTTCTATAGGAATCAAAATAGGTCTGAGTGGTAGTTTACTTTGGAACCTTACTTTTGCCTTTCTTTCAATTTACAGCTGTTTTCTTCCAAAATTCTAATACAGAATCTATACAGTAGATACAGTGATGTACATATAGTACACAACTTTTTATTGCAATTTGCACAGAGGGTGAAAATAGACCTCAAACTTTATTTTTTTTTTCATAAGGTCATCAATTAACCAAACAGATTTTATTCTGCAAGGCAATAAATGAACTCTTTGACTTTTCTTGATTAGTGATGTTTTACCCCTTTTTACCTGAGGAAATGAAGGTCTCGTTTAAGGAAGAAAAAAAAAAGGGTGAGAGGAAGGAAAAAAGAAAAGAGAAAAAATTAAACCACATCCTGCTGACTATATTCAAAATTCAGATATAACAGCTAAAATGGGGAAATCCCTCTAGATGTCTTATTTCCTACTTAAAATCAGGTCGTCTTATCAAAGCCAATTGTGTGAAGAGACGTGGTGTAGAAGTACTTGGCTGTCAGAAATGTGTGGCACTGACAGTTTTCCATTTCTTTCTGCAGATATTGCTGTCGTAGAGATGAGTGACGCCTTCCGTCAGCCGTCCCTCTTCTACCACCTGGGAGTAAGGGAGAGCTTCAGCATGGCGAACAACATCATCCTCTACTGCGACACGAACGCGGACTCTCTGCAGTCCCTGAAGGTAGCTTTGGATGGGGAAGATGGGGTGCATTAGAGGGGGAAGCCACAGTTGGTCCTGAAAACATGGCCACAGTGAAATGCTGAAAAACTCACTTTGGTTTTCCTAAGACAAAGATTTAGGTGACTTTATGATGGTCAGTTAGATACCTAGGTGTTCATTGAATCATAGAATGGCTTGGGGTGGAAGGGACCTTAAAGATCATCCAGTTCCAACCCCCCTGCCCTGGGCAGGGACACCTCCCACCAGACCAGGTTGCTCAAAGGCCCATCCAGCCTGGCCTTGAACCCTTCCAGGGATGGGGCAGCCACAGCTTCTCTGGGCAACTTATCTTAGGTTACAGTTAAATGGCTCTTTATGGAACCAGAAGTCTGACAAATTTCAGATGAGAAATGAAATATGTGGTTTTATCATTCGAGGGAAATACTGGTGTTTGGGGTAAATTGTTACCGTGATAACAATTGGTGGAGAATGGTAGTGTGTAGGGGGTGGTAAAATAATTCTTAAGTTTTAACTCCTCTGTAATAAAGTTAGCTGTTTTCTGGCCAAACCTGATGGGGCCCCAGATGGCCTCTGATATGTCTTGCTGGGTTCACCTGCAGGATTGCTGGGCTGGAGATTAACAGCAGAGTTAGAAAAAGCAAAACTTGTGCCTGGTTGTCAGGCCAGGCCACGCTTCATGGTATGGTAGGTTGGTTTAAGGCAAGATGGTGGTTTAAGATAATCTATGGGGCTGTGAATTGTGTCAGCCAAGGGGTTGGTACTTGCTTCCTCCTGCACACGCTATGAAGGGTTTAGTATTTTCAGAGGGGATGGGGGAGTGCAGACAACTCAGATGACTTTTTAGTTCCTTCCCCTCCCTCAGATGCATTGGGCTCTGTTCAGGAGGTGGTTTGTTCTATTGTGCTTCCATTCTTTGCTGAAAAGCAGCTTTTTAGGAAGCAGCTCAGTGAGTCAGGCGGCAATCTGGGCACTGCCACCTCTCACAAAGGGGTTGCTGCCACTGCTTCTGGCTACTGCAGCATGTTTGGGTTTGATTCTGTTCCGTTATTTGCAGCTTGGCCCTCTGTTGGGAGGAACGTACGTTGAATAACTCAGTTACTTCCCCCTGCTCTTCCTTCCAGATTTTCTTGGCCAACTGGACTCGTTGCAACCCAATTATTTCTTTTTTTTTTTTTGCAAAACAAAGAGTATACAGATAAAAGCCCTAAAAATAAAGCTGCTGGTGACAAAGGACCAATCTGTGGACTGAATTCAATGATGCAAGTACAATGTTAGTGTAAGCAGAGCAGAATTTCATTGTTCTGAGTAAGGAGCCAAATACCCAACTCCTGCTGAAAATCCCTTGGACTGAGGCACCAGGCTTCCTCGGGCAATTAAGGGAACTTTTTACTAATTTAGGAGCTGGACTTTGTAAACGTGTCACGTGCCAGGTTCCCACTGACGTCAGTGGAAGCCCAGTTCTTTGTAGGGAGACTGGGGTGTGCCCGTTGCCACCACTCCAGGGCCCACTGGGAGACTCTCTTTGGTTTCCTTCAGCTTTTGAGCTGGGCCCATGTTTCTGCTTTTGACTGTTTGCAGGAAAGTCAGCAAAGAGCAAGACCTCTTCTGTAGTATGTAGTATTTTGAGCTGGGCCCATGTTTCTGCTTTTGACTGTTTGCAGGAAAGTCAGCAGAGAGCAAGACCTCTTCTATAGTATGTAGTAACTACCTGAAAAAGAAAAGTAGTTATGGGCATGCCTGGGCATCTTCTGAGGCAATGTTTGTTCCTGTGTTTGCTGCAGCCATCAGATAAAGTAGAAGCAAATACAGGAGTGTCTGTGTGGTTTTAATCTTGTGTAGAAGGAGGTGAAAGAACTCAAAATGATCATCAGAATGTACGAAATGCAAAGCAATGTAGGTAAAGTCTTGCTGGTGGAATGTTCCTCTGTATGAACATCCAGGTGAGGCTGGATGGGGCTTTGAGCAACCTGATCTAGTGAAAGATGTCCATGCCCGTGGTGGTGGTGGGGGGTTGACTAGATGTTTATGTCCCATACTTGGAAAGTCAGCAACAGTCCTATGTGAAACATGCCCCCTCAACAGGGGGAAGAGAGGTTTTATGGAAGCCTGACTTAGGCAATGTGGAAAGTAGGAGGCATCTTGGTTTGATATATTGTTGTTTTTTTTAATGCTGAGGTGGAGGTGAAGCTGCCGAGAGGTCCCAGAGGGGTAGCAGGGTTACTGATAAATCTGGCAGGGTTATCATGGGTGGCTGTGAAGATACACTCTTTGCATCAGGCTTATTAGAGCAACGTGGATTTCTACCAGTTTGGAAGTATTTTAAAGCCTCGTAGAAATATTGCTCTTACTATTCTTCACAGTTTCCTCTGCTGGCAGCAGAATGTTACCTACTGCATTTATCTTCTCAAATATGAGCAGATGTACATTAATAGTCAACTTTTGGCCAGCATCCCTCTAAAAAAAATTATATAGGGAGGGGTATGTACATGTGTGCATGTGTTTATGTGTATATACAGATACACACCGTACATATGCTCCTGTGTATTTATATATAAAATGTATGTATTTATTTGGATCCATAGCAATTTTGTCTCTCCTGAGACAGTGTTTGATTTATATTGATTTGTCAGGCATAGAAAACATCTACAAACCAGCATTTTCCTGTCATGTGCCAGTAAATGTTAATATTAGCAAGTCATGCTAATCAGATACCTATCTTAGTAGTTGTTAAGCGTTATCAACATTATTTTTTTTTCTTCTTTTTTCATTCCAGGAAATTATTTGCCAGAAGAATAATGTAAGTATGATTGTATGATTTCTGGGTGCCTGTTGAATTCTAGGCATTCCAGACTTCTGTTCTATTTAATGTTGTTTATCTTATGTTTTCCACTTGAATAATTTAACACTCTCCTACTGTATTTTACAGAGTTAGATGCAGAATTCTGGAAATCCTAGCAGCAAATCTGTGTATATCACTTTGTTGCTAGGTACCAGGCTCACTTCTTACCTTTCCTCCATCTATCAGTGGTATTTTCCTTGCTGCCTTTGCTTGTCTGTCATATTTTTTCACATAATATTTACATCTGTCATTTTAGTGGTTGGTTGTTTTTTTTCTGTTGCCGTTTTCTGTACAGTGTTCTTTAGTGTTTTTTAAAAATACTCTATTGAAAAGGAGAGTTATTTAGAAACTGATGCTCGTTTTAGAAACCCATGGCTACAGCTATGAAAATATATATATTTATAAAGAGAGAGTATGTGTATTTATTTCTGGAAGTTGAGTCTGGGAGGCTGTTAGTCCTAGTGCAGAGCAGATCCCCGTAGTCTGTCTATTTAATGACTGCCAGTCATTAGAGCGTGTGTTTCTGTGCCTTGGCATCCCTCTGGTTTCTGAGGTCAACCTTGCAAATCCCCCTTCCCTTTTTTCACTCCCAGGTTCAAGGGAGGGAGAGACCCGGGGTTGAGAGCATCACTTTCTCAGTGTGGTTTGTTCTGGAGCAGCAGGGCCAGTCATGTCAGAATATATATCTGGCATGTTGAGTTGTTCTTGGCTTGGCTTTGGGGCTCATTGGTAGCCATATACACTAAGATATAATTTTACAGCAGTTATTCAGTGGTGGGCAGATCTCCTGAGGTGCTATGTGTGTGCTGTACAATTTGAATAAACTTTCCTAAGGGGCATGCGGAGTATTTAATTTTAGCAATTGCTCAGGTTTTATTTCCCACAGTGTTAAAACTGCCATAAAAACAGCAGTATTCCTGGTTTTACTTTTTTTTGGGTATTATTTAGCAGTGCAATTAATGGATTAAGTACTGACTTCTGCCAGTATGAAACGTGATTCTTTGAAAAGGGTGCAGTTACCCACTAGAGCTGGTAGAGTTTCTAAAGATGGCTTAAAAACCAGTGCAAGCTTTGGCCCTAAAAAATTAATTTTTTTAATTAAAAAAAAAAAAGCAAAGAGGGTTCTGTATAGAGTTTCTGTATAACCCTTAACCAAAAAGTGCTTTTCAGAGACTCACCGAACGCTGCGAATGACGAGTGCGGAGTATTTAATTTTAGCAATTGCTCAGGTTTTATTTCCCACAGTGTTAAAACTGCCATAAAAACAGCAGTATTCCTGGTTTTACTTTTTTTTGGGTATTATTTAGCAGTGCAATTAATGGATTAAGTACTGACTTCTGCCAGTATGAAACGTGATTCTTTGAAAAGGGTGCAGTTACCCACTAGAGCTGGTAGAGTTTCTAAAGATGGCTTAAAAACCAGTGCAAGCTTTGGCCCTAAAAAATTAATTTTTTTAATTAAAAAAAAAAAAGCAAAGAGGGTTCTGTATAGAGTTTCTGTATAACCCTTAACCAAAAAGTGCTTTTCAGAGACTCACAGAACGCTGTGAATGATGTGCTGGATTAAAAATCCCTCACCTTTCTCTAATAAAAGTGGGGTAAAGTTGGGCCTTTTACACAAAATGAAAGAGAATGGTCAGGCATTTCTTGCAAATGAATATATCGCATCCCATAATTTTGTTGTGGTGGCCCAGGATGTAGGGAAAATGATGTGTGGCCAATGTGATGTCCCTGGGAAGGGCTGCAGGAAGAGCTCCGTGAGCAGGAAACCAGCAGGAGACAACAGGGTAGAGCAGAATAAAGGGGAAATGTTGCTGTCTTGTCCTATTTTTAAGTGACAGTCCCTGAAGCTGAAGGAGAGGTGTGGTAACTTGGCCTTCACCCGTTTGAGAAAGGGTTGTTCTGTTTTCCATTTAAATTTGGATAGGTGGCTGCGAAACTGTCATTTTAGCACTTTTTTAGAAAGGGTTCAATGTACGCCACGAAAAGAATGTGTTCCTTGAGAGTCTCAGATGTTTTCAAGCACACCCACATAACATCTTTTCTGGGAGGAAGTATTTTCCTAGGGATGAGGACAGAGAAGTCAGTAAAACTGGCTTAGCAGCTCCGCAACTGATGTATTTTATTTTTTTCCTCTTTTTTTTCCTCCTTTTTTTGGCACGGTGTCAGCCAAATTACCTGGAAGTAGACTTCTCACAGTGTTGGTGCTTGCCTAACTGTTGAGTGAAAAGAATGAAAAGTGAAAATCATGTTTCATCATAAATCATAAGGCTCTTGGATGAATTGGTACGGCGGAGGTGCTGTGACTGTGATGCCCCCCCTGTACCAAAAAGTCACTCGCCTGATTATGTGAGGTTGCAAATATGAAAAAACGAAGCTCACATATGAATAAACCAGGAGTTAAGTCCTGCTGTTCTAGAACTTGTTTTTTTTTTTAATAGCACGCAAACATCAGACGTAACAGGACAATGGTATCCCTGGCACCAGGGGATTTAAAAGGCTGCAAAACAAGTACGTGTGTGTGTGTGTGTGTGAGTGCATCTATATATATCTGTCTAACTGAAATGCCTTCTGTTTGCCTTTCCTGAACCTTGTATCCCTAAAACTGGTGGGGAGAGAAGAAAAAAAAAAAATTAAAAAAAAAATCCATTACCAACTGTTTTGTTCTTTGTTCTGACTGGATTTTTGTGCTTCCTAATAATAGTCAATACAGGGTTGCGTAGTGAGGATAAGCTGCCTGGAGCCTGTCGGGGCAGAGCAGCACGAGATAACGTGGGCTCATTTCCTGTTATATGTGGTTTTATAGCTGTTTAGCTGGAGCTTTTCCAAACGCTGCAGTTAATACCCAAAGCCTACATTTTTACAGGGAGCGATAACTTCGACAGGGGGCCGTTAACTTTTGATATTTGAAAGCTGGAGTTTAGTTTGTGCTCTTATCTGATTTTTGAGGTCAACCAAGCAGCAGAGGCATTCGAGAAATGACTAGTAAAAGAGTTTCAGTCACAAGGAGATGTTGGTACAAAGGTTACAGCCCCTGGCTGTACTTTGCTTGTTTTAGCTCACCAGTTTTTTATTTCATCCTAGTTCCTCCCCTGTTTGAACTTTACCAATTTTGGAGAAAAGCTGCAGGTCAGGTTCCAAATGGCCACTTAAAAAAAAAAAATCACTTCTTGCTGAATCTTAAGTTTAACATAAGTTATGTTTAATGTTTAAACTACTGAAGAAGTTTAAGTCATTATAGATATGATTGGTAACCAATTGCACTAAGTAACACCTGGACACAGTGTTTAATGTTTAAACTACTGAAGAAGTTTAATTCATTATAGATATGATTTGCAACCAATTGCAGTAAGTAACACCCGGACACAGCCCCCCCTTTCTATTTGGGCTTGCACCAGGTTGGAGTGCCAGGTAGCCCCAGGAGCTGCTGGAGTGGCCCAGCTGCTGGCCTGGTGGGAAAGACGATGGGGAGGCAATGGGACCCCCACTCTGGTGGGCAGATTAAGTGACAGGGTTAATGTTGTATGGTTTGGGACTCTTAAATTACCTTTTCCTTTTCTGACACTTGGAGGGATGGGGCTTGGAGCAACCTGGTCTGGTGGGAGGTGTCCCTGCCCATGGCAGGGCAGTTGGAACTAGATGATCTTTAAGGTCTCCTCCAACCCAAACCATTCTATGATTCTATGATGGGAGATAGTAAATTTTTGCTGCTTTTCCACAGCCCTTCCGATCTGCCTCCTGTGTTTAAGGTGTAGCTTGGGAGACCGTTTGGTGTCATGCTCCTTCAGCAGGAGAAGGAGTAGTCACCCTGGATGAGGTGTCCCAGAGGTGTCTGCAAGCTTGGACCCTCCATTTAGGTGCTGCCAGAAGGCTGTAGATCCCATAGGATATGTTTAGCTATTGGTCTCTTTCACTGGGGAAATAGGGGGAAATATTTTTAATGCTCCTCACCCAGCTGACCAATAATTTGAGGGCAGTTTGAATTTTGGTATCCAAGCATGTAAGAATGGTATGTAGCAACCTTCAGTAAATATTTCGTTGATAATGATGTCTGTGGTATTTGTTGTTATTTATGATACATAACTATCTCTTCCTCGTGCTTTCTTTGAATTCTTTGACTAATATGCTGGGCACGTAATTTCCCTGGAAAAAGCTAGAACTGTGAATATGATAAAAGGACCACATAGAGTGTGTGCTGATTTTTAACAAGCATTTACGATGTGACATGGCTGCAACAGAATGTTACTGCTGGGCATATAAAGAAAGAATATATTCTCAAAGAAAATGGGAAGTATTTGCGAGTAGACCCTGTGCTTCAGTTCATTTGAGGTGTGAGGCTGCTTATGTTCCTGTTCAAACCTAATAGCAAGGCTGTCATTTGTGTGAGTGGGATTTGAAGCAAACCCAAACTGAGTCTGTGTTCATTAAAACATCAGCACATGTTGATTTACTGCGTGTTTGGGGGACGGCGGGAATCGATTTAATAACTTGCTTTAAGATTTTGCCATCTGCTACAAGTAGCACCATGTGCAGTCAGAGAAAAATCTTTAAGAAAAATCTCATGAGAAGAATTGAAATGAGCAGATATTTCTCAAAAGAACTAGTAGGAGAAATGCAAAAAAAGCTGATCTTAATTAGAGGAGAGTCAGCGGGAAGAACAGTTCCTACTGTGAGAAATACTGGCTATTTTTATTACCTCAGCTGATTTTATATTTATTTGAAAAAAAAGAACCTACATTGGATGCTGACCTGAAGCTTAGGCAAGTAGATGGAATTCTACTAGATTCACCCATCCATGAGTAAAGCATCATGGTTTTGTTTTGGGGGATTTCTGGGGTTTTTTTGCACTTCTTGTCTTTGAGGGCAGCTTTTTTCTGCTTGTGGATATTTGGCTGTTAAATGATTCCAACAGAGCAGTGTTAGTGATGAGCCTCAGGGAACTGAGAGACTGCACATCGT